CATTCTTCTTTAAAAGTTCCGTGATTTTATTCAATTGTAATAATCAATATATGTTGACTTGGTAATAGAACTTGCTAACTTTTATTTTCTTCGGTGTGGTTAAGTACTTAAGTTTACTAGTATAATTGCAAACAAACTTCGAAAACTTAAAATGTAGTGTGATTCCGTATTCAAATATTAATGAAGCAGTTGCTTCTTCGAATTTCTTATATTACTCCTGCTAACAGAATTGATCAACTCAAGCAGTAGAAACTGTTTACATATTTTTCTACTCGTTTTTTTTTCTTTTTTTTTTTGTTCATTTTTATGTCTACAAGAAACATGATTTTTTTTTTAAAGAAAAGTTTCATTTTTTCTGAGAGACAGAGCTTTCTAATGGCAAAAGACAGTTGATTGTTCAATCTTGTTTGGTCCAGTGCTTTATTCTATCGAAAATCAGGTCTTCAATTTATTACCAATTTCTAGCGAAAATCGGTAGAACTATATCTAGCGATAGGGCAAAGAAAGACGTTTAAAAATTAAGATGGCGAAGGAGATAGGCAAGAGGCAATCAAAACCTATTTTCTAAGTAATACAAGTAGACCATTCTGCTATAGACATCTTACAATGCGTTCGATTATCTAACAAATCTCATTTTCTGCCGAAGGGCAATATAGCTTCAGCATTTTACCAAGAAATCTTCAAGAACAATGGATTGCCAGGGATCCAGGTATGATAAATGGAAATTTTAAAATTTATTATCACACTGTACGCTCCTAGGCGTCAAGCCATGAGCCTGTATACAGCTGTACAACAATGACCTGAGAGAGGGTAAGGGCAAATAACAATTGAGGACAATCAAAATGGAAAGATATGCGACAGATACTAGTGATTTCTATGTCACTTTTTATTTTAAAGATAACTTTGTTATCGAAGATTTTACAACGTAACTATTTTGCAATAATTTCATTTCAGGGTGTGAATTGTTTTAAAGATTTTCCATTAGAAGATGGTCGAATTCAATATAGCTTTATTCAAATGCTATTACTTCAATTTGATTCAAGTCAAATTCATTTCTTGGACTTTGTATCTTATACAACGATTTTAACATTGAGAAGATAAGAAATTAGCAAAAGAATTTTACATTAATACTATTTTAAAGACTTGTTATTTCTTTAAAGAATGAAAATGCAAATGCTTTTCTTATTAAAGTCTCTGTAGAAAACAGCGAATAACCGAAATATAGTGAATTGACCAGTATTCGTTCTGCATGTAACTTGTTTGATTCTACTATTAATAAAATTATAAACTAACTTGTCAATATAAAAAGTTAAAATGTCATTTTATTTTATATTGAACAAAACAATAGACGTGGAGATCACTAGTAAGGGATGTTGAAGATAAAAGTTGAAGGCATCACGTTTATCATAAAGCTTGGTTGTTTGGTTATCATTGACGACTTTTGTAGTAAAATATCAAAACATGAAACAGATGTGCCAGACTCCATTGTATCTTTTATGTCATGCTAACTGGAATTTATCGTTTCTAAATATGAATTGAAGTAACTATTGTTAATTGAGAAAATATTATTTATGTATTAAAAATTCAGTTCCATTTAAATTTCGACTTGATGATAGTATATCACAGTAAGCTCCAAATAAAAGACATCACTGACGAACCCATCCTGTTCCATATTAAGATGTCTTACTGACAATGAACGGTTTTTTTTTCTGTTTGTTTGTTGTTTAATATCCCCCTCGAGAATTTTTCATTTATATGGAAGGCACCATCTTAGGTCTTCGTATGTCTCCAAATGATTTGAAACGCAAAAAATTCTATGTATGATCAATTTTCAGTCCAAGTGAGATTCTAATGTGAATGGAGAAGATAACAAACAGTGGAAATTTTAGACGTGGGATCAGGTGCATTGACGAGTAAGCATCCCGTATTGACCGTTCATACTCGCCGTGAGCTATATGCATAAAAATTGATCAGGTAGACAAACCTGTAGTCAAATCACGTGTAAAACATTACGATTGTACTAAAAAAGTTGGGCTTCTTACAATCTTGTTTGAATTGATTTATTATTATCTCATTTGTAAATACAACCTATATTTGGATCCAGATGTTACTGGTTTGTTTCATGACGTCAGTTGGGCTGTTGTTCATTCTAATTTTGACCACTGAATATCCCGTTCAGCTAATCAATACAGGAGGCCCGCGATGAGTGTGACCAGTCGACCCAGGATGCTTTCTTCTTATAAGCACCTGGTCGACTTTTTCTTTTACCAGGGGTCTGTATGGTATGTTACGATTATATTGCTAATCGGATTTACAGATTGTAAATATTTGTCATCGCGTATCCTAATTACTCCCTTTAGTTCCTAATTACTCCCTTAAGTTTAAAGTTAGTAGAAGGATTACCGGGTTTGTGAGACAACAGATAAATAATACGTAAACAATTAGCCAAAGATTTTCCCCTACGTTATCGCACCAGGAAAAAATAAAACAAACACATTTTCACAATTCTATTTATTACTTTCCCTCTTCAAGTAATCAATATTTTTATTATCAAAAGAATTCTTTAAAAAAACATAGCATGGGTATATTGATGAAAATTTTAATATAACACTAACTTAATATAAGATACATAAATACTGTAAATAATAATAAAAAAAAACATGCAAATCATTGGAGCATTAGATTATTCATCTACGTTTTTCATTAAGCATAGTTCTTAACCATAAATTTCTATCTTGTACTTAAATAATTAACTGAATTGAATTTCTTAAAAATATTTCTGATTAAAAATGACCTAAAAACATACATATTTATAGAAGATGACTTCATATATACGAGTACAATAATGCAATAAAAACTTTTTAAAGGATTATAACCAATTTGAAGTGTGTTTAAGCTTTTTTATTTTACTAATATAACTAAGGATAAATACCCTAAAAGCTTGAAAATAAGCCGCGGCTTATTTTAAGTTTTGGTAAGAAAGTAGGGGCTTATTTTCAAAACCGTCTTATTTTCAAATCACGGCTTATTTTCAGTACAAAAATCTGGTAAGCGGTGAGAGCATAATCAAGGCTTATTATCAATACAATAAATTGTAATCGATCGATTGAAATCTACCAATTCGTTCTAAAAATAGATTATCCAAATCAGGTAAACAATTAAATGAAAAGTGTTCAAAGGCCTAATATATTGGGCGCACGTTTTTCAGTTTTTAAAACAGTGAGCTTTTAACAAAAGGTAGTCGCACTCCGACTCCTAGGAAAAGTTATAACCGAGAATTCAAACTTCGGGTTGTAGGACATTATAAAGAATTGTCACTTGGAAATACAAAAAACCGTATCATCGAAACCGCTAAGTTTTTTGGAATTGATGAAAGCAATGTGCGGCGATGGATTAAGTTAAAACTACAAGAAACTCCAAAAGGTTCGAAATCGCACGGCTCGGGACGGAAATCGCTTTATCCTGAGATGGAAAGACAACTACATCGTGAATTCAAAGAAATTCGGGAGGACGGACTTAAGGCCAAATCATGGTGGTTCAAATCCCGTGCAGCTGAATTCGCAGATTCTGACTTCAAATGCAGTAGCGGCTGGTTTAAAAATTTCAAAAAACGGCACAATATATCGTATGCACCAACCAGTGGAGCTCAAAATCCACCAGACGCTAAAATTGAAGCCTTCAACAGTTTCCATAAATTTATCCGAAAAAATGCAAGCAGAGACTGCACCGACCCTAATGGTCGCTTTAAATTAGTTGCCAACATGGATCAATCTCCACTCCCGTTTGATCTAAATAAGGGGAAAACATATGAAACAACTGGTGCTACTAAGGTATGGTGCATCCGGACTTATTACAGACAGGCAACATTACAATATTTTCATCGCGGAGTTAAACGCATAAAGCCGCTTGTTATATTCAGGGGAACAGGCCAGCTTTCCGTTCAGTGAAAAAGTGAAGTATGACAGTCGCGTTGTGGTTCAATTTCAACAAAATGCATGGTGTGAAAAGTTATGTTGTTTTGGATAAATAATATGTGGAAAACTTAGCAATCCAGTACAAACCAACAATGTTAGTTGCCGATGTACACAGAGCGCAAAATACGGAAACAGTAAAATCAAAGTTCCGAGAGATCGGCACAACGTTAGCGTTAATTCCAGGCGGATGTACAAGCGAACTTCAACCCCTTGATAGTGTTCCACGCTCCATTGAAGAAAAAGATTGAGGAAATAAACACATTTGCATGCAAACAGAAAACAATGGCTCACTTTCACAGCTTCAGAAAGGTAATTACTAAATAATCAAACGTTAGCTCTGTGTTGTTTTTACATTTAATAGTTTTTCACACCTGTTTTAAGGCTGTGCATTTTACCTTAAGTGTGTAGAATTCTTAACAAAAAAACACATTTAGTTAATGATTTGAATGTATTTTATTTAAATTGTAAAATTTGGGTAATATAAGGAACAAACGGCCGCTGTGGTGAACTTTAAAAGCTGTGGAATAAACAAAACAGATGGCATAAATATTCACTTCACAGGCATTGACAATTAATTTGAGCCAGAAAAAAAAGACACTGAACATGGCTGTTTTATTTTGAACAAAAACGGTGAAAGTGATTCAGATGAGGACATTCCACTGGCTGAGCTAAAATTCAGAGTTTGACAGTTTAAATACAATTTTATAGTTTTAGACATAATATAATTAACTAAGACAATACATGTAAGTTTTTATCAAAATAGTGGACTTTGAATTTTTATGGTTTTTAAAATGATTCTAAAAACATACATTTTTAATCAAAATATTGGACTTTGATATTTTTATACAGTTGTAAACATTTTATTTTTAATTTTGAATTAAATCATAATTTAATGTCAAAATATTTATAATAAATAATTAAACTTTGTTTTAAAGGATTATAATTTTCAAAACAATTTTCGAAGTGTGTATTAATGCTTTTGGCTTATTTTACTAATATAAATCCGGATTTTCAAATATATAATTAGTTAAATAAGAGACAATGTCAACCAATAAAAATGATCCTGATTAACAACATACATCTCTGGCATCCAGTCACATAACAACATTAATCTTTTTCTAGATACTCCATGTCTTCTTTCTTAAGGAAATCCTTCAGACAATCTATCGAATACTTCCACAGGGCTTCCTGCTTCTGCTGGTCTCTACAATTCAAATTGTAAATTTTTTAATTTTGTTTTTTTTCTAAAGGATGATTGATGTTTGCATTTTGCATGTAGGTGTCATTGTTGTTGGACATCTAGTGTCTGTGAAACCTTTGTTCCACAGGGAACAGTGTTAATGCATGGTGAAATATGACAATTAAACATTTGTCTTTGAACTTTATGAAATTTTTTTTTCAATCCTTGCCCTACAAAATAGCAGTTCTAAAGTTACAATGTATTGTGATTTTTTTTTTTTTATTAGAAAACATCTTTTACAACTTCAAATCATAGTTTCATTTCAGGAAAAAAAATTAAGAAAAAGATAAAAGCAGCGTTATAGCTAGATACATGTACTGCATAGAATTACTGAAATACCAATATGAATAAAATGACATAAAACGAGAGATCCTCTTAAATCACAATAATTTAAGAAGTACAGTAAATTACGATAATTAAATTGTGTGTACTTTCGTGCAAAATGATTTTGCAATACGTGTTTTTATGTGGCTTTATTTCATTGAAGATGATAAAAAAATAGAAATCATACACGAACAATATGCTATGTCCAGCAGACAAGTTTGTAATAATATCGTTTTTTGGTTAGACTAATTATAGTGATTGTAAGAAGAAAGTTTTCATTTTCGTCATCTAAAAATTTAAACATTTGCTAGCAGTTCACTTTTCTATATTTCTTTATTCAATAATCCAGGTGAAAAAAGAATTGGATGGATTACATGATCAGTACGTACTGGTACCTGCTGACAATGCAATTGTCTTTGTTTGTAAGGCTCATTATATAAATTGTATTTTAGAAGAACTCGGATTTAATTCTACAAGTGGTAATCCAACTTATACTCATAGTTCCCTTTCTAAGGTAGAAATTTTTCAAAATTATATGTCAGTTTTGCATAATTTTAATATCCCAAAGAACCAAAATGAATTTGAACTACCATATATATATTGGATTCCGAAACTTCATAAGAATCAAAGATACATAGCGGGTTCCAGTAAATGTTCAACCAAGCTTCTTTCTTTACTCCTCACTAAGATATCAACAATAGTGAAGAAGATACTTCAGGAGTACTGCGCAACAATATATTCAAGAAGTGGTGTAAATCAGATGTGAATGCTTAAAAATCCCAAGAAACTTTTGGACAATTTGAAATCGCAAGATTTTACCAAAATCAACATTTTAAAAACTTTATACACAACCATTCCCCACGATAAATTAATAAAGCTGCTTTTTCAACAAAAATGGAACTCGAAAATTTACTTACCTTATCATATGTCATTTGCAAAATTATTTTGTTAAAAATAACATTCTGATTGTACACACAAGTATTCTGAAGTCGACATAAAAAAAAAATGCTTGAGTTTCTGATTGACAATATCTATGTAGTTTTTGGAGACCAGGTCTTCCAACAATCTATTGGAATTCCCATGGGTACCAATTGCCCGCCGTTATTAGAAGACCTATTTTTGTATTCATATGAAGCAGAAATTGTGCAAAATCTTATATGTGAAAAGAAGAAAACACTTGCTGCGGCAACTCGACATGTAGATATATCTACGACGTGTTGTCAATTAACAATGGTAATTTCCATTCTTAAGTCGATACGATGTATCCTAGTGAGCTTGATATAAAAGATACCTCAGAGTCTGACATATCTGTTTCATATTTGGATATTTTACTTAAAAAGAGCGTTAATGGTTATCTAACAACCAAGCTCTATGATAAACGTGATGACTTTAACTTTTCTATTGTCAACTTCCCTTACTTATGCAGCAATAAACCTTCATCACCTGCATACGGAGTTTACATATCTCAGTTGATCAGATACACAAGAGCATGCTCTAAGTTTGAACAATTTCTAAAGCGTGGTAAATTATTGACAAACAAGTTGATGAAACAAAAATATCAGCAGTCTCATTTAAAGTCATCATTTCGTAAGTTCTATGGTTGATACAATGACCTTGTCAGCAAATACAAATTTTTATTGAGTCAAATGCTGACTGAGGTTTTTCATGCTAATTGTTAGTTCATTATTTATACAATGAATTGACAACGAACTTTTCCGTTATTTCCCGATCAAGACAAGGAGCACACGGCGGGTGTGACCGGTCGGCAGGTGATGCTCAATACTCCCTGGGTCCTGATCCCACCTCTAATGTTTTGGAGGTCCTTGTTTGCTCTGCTCATATATTGTATTGTTTTATGGACTTTTGATCTTGAATATTGTTTGTTATCTCTATATGTTTCATTTTTAAGATGAAATTCTTTAAAATCATGCACACTTCAGCTTTTACACTTACATTCTGGACAGTCAAGAAACGTTAAGTTCGATCTACCCTACCAATTCAAGAGTCCTTTAACTTTTGTACTAATTATGTCCTAATCTCAGATTTGTTTTTGTTTGTAGTTTTATGATCAATCCCTGTTTTTATCTTCACAATTTTATTTCTTACCTTTGATTTTGTGTACAATTCGGCTTTGGTTTTAAAATATTGATTGAAATTATTCGTTTAAACATTCAAAGAAGGAGGATGATAAATAATTTTTCTTTCATTACATAGCTTGCTGCACTTTGATAATTCAAAGCAAAATGGTTGTTTTGCTTAATTTATGATGTGATGTCATTTTAGCACTCTGCAAACAAATACCTTGCCAGGCTGTTTGCTTGATTTATTTTCATGTCCATAAAATAAGCATCTCTCGTGTCTTTAAATTTTGGGTTGATTGCTGCACTGATTAATGTCTTAGCACCTTCAAATGGAGTTTTTGTGTTACCTGTAAATAAATAGAAAAAGTAATCCAAACAAATAAAATAAGAATCCACTGACTTTGTAACACAGAATATTTATCCTGCTTGTATTTTCATTTGCAATTTCTACACATACGGTATTTTACCAGAATTATTTTAGCCCTTTCATACTACAAACTACGTATAAAACCCCATTTTGCATTTGACCAAAAAGAGCTGCATGTGTTAAGAAGATAATGTTGCTTTCATTGAATTTGCTCTTTATTTTCCATTTCCCCCACTGGAACATGGGCAAAATAGGCGAAAAGAAAACAAAGTCAAATCTTTTTATGCATTATCAGAGAAATTATAACTGATGGGTTTCACTTCATTTTTTGTAATTCCTTTAGTATATGTTTTCTTAAAATATCTTTGTATGTACGTACATACCAACTGCTTTTGATAACTGAAAGAACACTCTCCATAGTTGTAATTCAGAAAAACTTCGACTGATTTCTGTATCAACAATACCCGGATGTATACAATTGACAGTCACGTTTGTATTCTGTAGTCTTCGGTTTAAACAGTACATTTGCATGATCTATAACAGGAAATAACTTCTAATTAACTTTAAAATATTATTATTGGACATAGAGCATTATGGCTGCATTTCCCTTGCTTAATATAATGAGGTAAAGACATACATAGATGTTTTGTTCTTTCATATAAAGTCTTTAAAGAATTAAGAAACCTTTTTTGTTGTCACTGTTTACAATACAGAGGTGAGATAATTATTTCTATTCAATAATAAAGACTTTATTTATATTTGTAAGATTTTATTAATTTTACACTGTAAATTTTACAGTTAATTAGCCAGCAAATGACTGATATTGATGGATAATATAATGGAAAACCATACCTGATACAGTTTAGAATTTCCATAGTACAAGAGTCTCTTGAAGTTTTCTTTTGTGTGATGTTTTCCTTGTGCCTTCTCCAAATCAAAGCTGGCAGTGCGGTGGGCTTCACTGGACACTAAAATAAGGCGACAGTCGTCACCCGAGTTCAGCATCACAGGTAACAGTTTGGAAATCAACAGAAAGTGTCCCAGGTAGTTTACCTACAAGGGGAATCAAGTGAATATTGATTTTGGCTTCTAAATGAAATCTTTATGAAGAATAGTTTTTTTTTCTCTAATGATATTTGATTTTTCTAACTATAAAAATAACAATTTTACTATTTACCTGAAACATGATTTCATATCCATCTTCGGTGTACTCTGAAAAAAAATATCGATATTATTTTTTAAGAAATATCATTTCTGATAATAATAAAACAAGTAGAGGAAATATGTTGTATATTACAAATTAAGATATCTCTCTACCTTGTCCATGAAGTGCAATCCCTGCATTACAAAGTAACAGGTGCAACTTGTTTTCCTTTTCTTTAAAGTTGTTTATGAAGTTCTCCACAGATTTTAGTGATGTGAGGTCTAGAGGCATGAATTCCACTGCCAGATTCTCATTAGAACAAAGTCCAGGAGTACCTTTAGTTTTCTCTTCTCCAAACTCTTTCTGCATTTTCTCTATAGCCTACAAAAATGGAAAGATAATTTACTTTTTTCTAAACTTGTCATAACAAACATCTGATTAGAATTGACTTTTATGAATATTTTGTTGAGCTTACCTTCTTGGCTCGTTCTTCTGATCTACATGCAATGATTACTCTTGCCCCCATCATGGCTATCCATTTGGCTGTTTCATATCCAATACCTAGAAAAGATAAAATCAAAGAGCAATATTATCTCCCATAGCTTAGGCACTACCTAAGTTTTATAAAAGTTGACATTTGTACCCTATAAAAGGAAAAAAATAATACAGTTTTAGATAAATAAGATTTTCTTGAATCCAGCCTTAGATACCAATGCTTATTAGCTTGATATGAAAGGAGAAGTGATTTGTGGTGTCTTGCAATGATAGCAAAAATCTTTTACTTTATGTATTATAGAATACATGACGGAAATAGAAGACAAAAAATTCCAAATAAGTATAAAAATCATTACAATTTCTCTGAATGCCTGGATACCTATCGTTTTTTAACCTAAAATATATTTGTTGATCAATTTGCAATTTTAGAATGCATTGCTGATATTCCAATTCGCCTTTTCTGCAAAAATATTGGAGATTTGACAATTTTCCCTGTATAATATGATTAACTTTAATCTTTAACTTTAAAGAAATACTGTGGATAAATTTACATAACTTTGTGGATTCAGAGATACTTTTATATGCATTTTTGATTACTTAACTCATAATTTTATAAACCTGCGGATCGGACTACCTTAAGTTTATGCTTTTTTTTTTTGCATCATCGACATGCAACTGCTTTTTCGATCAAAATGGAAATCGTTTTATTGACCTATACTTACTTTGTCATTGGTCATCATTTTTGTAACAGAACATCCGATTGTTCGCACAAGTACTCTGAAGTTTATATAATGATTCTTGTGTTTCTTATTGACAATGTCCATGGAAGTTTTGGAGATAAGGTCTTTCAACAATCTGTTGGAATTCCGTTTGGTACCAATGGCGTCCCGTTATAAGCAAATTTATTTTTGTATTCAATGACATATGAAGCAGAGTTTAAACGCTTCTGGGAAGAAAACACTTGGCATTTACTCATTTAGATTCATGGCCACGACGTACATGTATTATCTATTCACAATTATAGTTACTTCCATTCATATGTCGATCATTATATCCCAGTGAATTTGAAATTAGAAAAACGAAATACAGTCTGACAAAAATGTTTCATATTTGGATATATTTTTCTAGGAAAAAAAGAGGTTAATGTAACCAAATAACAAAACTTATAATAAATATGATGACCTCAACATTTCAATCGCCAACTTACCTTCATTTTATGGTAAAATACCCTTATGGCATGTATATGGGAATTATGTCTCCCAGTAGATTCGATACTCAAGATCAATGTATGAGGATTTATTTTTAATTTATAACGAGGCAATCTATTGACCAACAAGTTGATGAAACAAGAATATAAGCAATTTCGTTTAAAGTAATAATTTTGTGCCGAATGACCTTATCAACAATTACAATCTACCATTAAGTAAAATGCTGACTGACGTTTTTCAAACTAATTGTTAGACCCTGGATTGTCAATGGAGTTTTCCGTTATTTCCCAATCATAACAATGAGCACACGGCGGATGTGACCGGTGTCGCATAATATTTGGTCCGCCTCGTTTAAAGGTCCGGCCGGACCTAATACGATAACATATTTGGTCCGCCTTTGATAAGAAAAGGTCCGGCCCGTATAATAAAAGGTCCCCCTACGTTTTAAGGTCCGGGTGGTGCAAAATATTTTAATCTTGACTTTAACATATGAAATTAAAGAAAGTTAGTTTATACTATACGATAAGAAGGATTTACCCTGTTGTGTTTTATGTTTTGTACAACATACCTGTATCTCTAGACAATAATCTACTCGTTTAGTGTGCTTTAAGCAGTGAAGTTTAGGACCATGATTTCTTCAAAAAATAATGCCACAACTACATGTTTTATGTTAGTGTTTGTTTTTCCTTTTTGCTTTGTGTAAATTAGTACACGATAAAAGGTGTGAAATCTGTCGGTGTGTATGGCTAATAAAACAATGGGGGTGTGACGTATTTGTTTACCTGACAGGTACCCACAAGTAGAGCCCGCGGCAGATGGCGATGTCATTGAATGGTCGGTGAACCTTATGGTCATGTGTTAGCTTTACATATCAATAGATTTAAATTTCTTTGATTAATAATTTATACTAAGAAACAAAATATCCATGCGTACACTTCAAAACTGCGACATTTATAATAATTATAATCATATAGTCTTTATTTGAATATTTAAAGCTAAATATGGCGTATCTGAGCTAAAAATTAAAAATACTAGATTAAGCGTATATTTACACGTGAAAATGGTATTTATATTCAAATTAAAATTTTTACCAATATTGAACATAAATATACCCACGTTTCTATTAATTAAATTCAAACTAATTGGATTTAAACTGTGTCTGATATTTACATTCCGAGTCGATAAGAATCGGTCATTGTTTTAACTCTCTGATTTCTATATATTATACAAAGACGCAATTAATTTAAATTTCGGTAAAAGAACATTTTATAGAATAAATTATAGACTGTTTAGTAAATCAAATGTCTTGGACATAAGTTCGGCGCAGTATTTGGCATTTAATTTAGCGAACATTACATGTGATGAAAAAAATACCTGCTCATTATTTTTAGTGTGTTAACTAGACTTGGTGCTTCATGTACAGATGTATCATACTGTACAGAATTTTTTATAAAAATGTGTTGTTTAATAATTTTTTCAAAATTCCTTTTCTACGTACATGTAACCGGTAAACATTAAATTGCCGGAGAGGTACACGTAACTATAAAAAATTCCTGAAATGAAAAGAAATAAATAAAATGTCGGGAAAAAAAGAGTAATTGTCAGAAATAAAATAAAGAAAATGAAAGTTTCATTAAATTTCCTTCATTGGTATGAGAGGAGTTGTGGATAAGAGAAGAGTACCCCAAAGCGTAACAGACGGACGGACGGACAGACAGACGGACGGACGGACGTACAGACGGACGGAATTAACGATTACTATATACCCTACCGCTTTTCAAGCGGGGGGTATAATGAAATGCAGCGGTCCTATCTTTATATAAAAGAAAGATCTTTTTTATATTGTTAGTCTGAACTCATAAAAAAAAAACGCCTTATATGACTTTTAAAGAAACTTATCCTAAGTGTGGAGTTTATTACTAATAAGATCGATAAAGAGTAAATGTAATTCTCTGGTTTCCTGTAGTCTTCACAATCACCTTTTGTTTTCTGTTAATAATCATGTTTTGGTCCTTTATTTGTGGATATTGTAAAAAATAACCTAATATTTAACCTTTTTTTAAACGGGCCCCAGAATTATAGTTTATTGGCTTGGATCTAATTTATTCTTATACAAATACATCCATCCCTCATCCTCACCATATTGAAAAGCATATATATTTTTTTGCGGAAAGAAAAATAGAAATTATTACATTTTTTATTATGACTGTTGCAGAATGCGGGATAATCTTGTGTTGCAAGAGCGACTAAATTTTGAAATCTTGTCAGTAACCGTAACTGTAAATTATTTTCTATTATAACTGAAAATTATTTTCTGTTATAACCGACGTGAAGCTTTTTTCGAGAAGTTGTATATAATTATTTATCTCATGCCTGTATGGAAAGAATAAGCCTGAGGGAAAATGATTTTATAAGTTCTCGTCCATATACTCAAAAATAGAAGAAAAAAAATAAGGCATACATGTGTTTACAGTGGGATCCAGCATTGCATCACTTGACCCTCTTCATATGTTGTGTATCAAGTATTCTCTGCAAACCCCATTCACCCCTACCTCACCCCAGCCCGCAACAGTACCCAGAAATGGTCATAACCGTAAACGCATTTGATAGGCATTTCGCCTACACTACTAGTGATTATTTTAATTACATCGCTTCTATATTTTGTAATACAATCTTAGTTTATACATGCATAAAACCAAATCACACAATAATGATATGCCAATGTTAATAGTTCCCTCAAAAGATCAATATAAAAATTATCCAGTTTGTATGAAATACCCCCCCCCCCCGGTATATAAGAAATACTCAGGTTTCCACCTAACGATGACATATTGTTGTCAAAGACCACCTTTAACCAGAAAACAACTTATGAATAATTTTATTTAGATATGACTGCTCTTCATTCTATTTAGATAATTTTGGTTAAAGGTGGTCTTTTATCATTGCAAAGAAAATTATATTAAGGGTTTATTTTCGTATAACAATTAAGAATCAGAGAAAGGGACATGACGGGCCTTAAAGCGCAGTTATCAGAAAAGGTATTTCAGGTATCTGTATCTCATAAAGGAAACATTTCTAGAGAAAGGGACAGGGCGGACCTTAAAACGCAGTTATCAGAAAAGGTCCGCCCTCTGTATTTCAGATATCTTCATGTCATAAAGGAAAATTTTTCTGTTTTCGTTGCTTAAAAACACGAGAAAGGGAAAGGGCGGACCTTAAAACGCAGTTATCAGAAAAGGTCCGCCCTCTGTTTTTCAGATATCTTTATGATTCAGAGGGAAATTTTGGACAGGGTTTTATTTTCGTAGCTTAAAAGACTAAAAAAAGGATAGGGCGGCCCTTAAAACGCAGTTATCAGAAAAGGTCCGCCCTCTGTATTTCAGATATCTTCATGTTTTAAAGGGAAATTTTTGGACAGGGTTTATTTTCGTAGCTAAAACATTTAGAGAAAGGGACAGGGCGGACCTTTAAACGCAGTTATCAGAAAAGGTCCGCCCTCTGTATTTCAAATATATTCATGTCATAAAGGAAAATGTTTCTGTTTTTGAAGCTTAAAAACACGAGAAAGAGACAGGGCGGACCTTAAAACGCAGTTATCAGAAAAGGTCCGCCCTTTATATTTCAGATATCTTCATGTCATAAAGAGAAATTTTTGGACAGGATTTATTTTCGTAGCTTAAACACACGAGAAAGAGACAGGGCGGACCTTAAAACGCAGTTATCAGAAAAGGTCCGCCCTCTGTATTTCAGATATCTTCATGTTTTAAAGGGAAATTTTTGGACAGGGTTTATTTTCGTAACTTAAAAACACGAGAAAGGGACAGGGCGGACCTTAAAACGCAGTTATCAGAAAAGGTC